AATTTTGGAGACAAAAATTTATCCCATTAAAATTTAATTAGGTGGCCATATTTAGATACTGGACCTAATATAATTTTGTTCAGTAATTTTCGGAATTACTGTTTGGGGTATTTTTATATTATTCTTATTAAGTAGTTTATGTGTAGAATACTTGTTATTTGTGCCATAAATACTTAATATTTATGAAAATTAGATTTTATATTTTCGGGGAAGTATTTGGCATGTCAATATAACTCAGAAATTTTAAAATCAATTTTTGGAATTAATTTCCTATTTTTCTATTTTTAAATTCGTTTATTGAATAGAAAATGGAAAAACTTATTTTTGACGATCAAAAATTAACTTTAATTCATAATAAGTTGCGACCAGAGATTTTAAGCTTGTATAAAACTTTTCATAATTTTTAAACACGTAAAAATATTTATTTTGTATTTTTGAAGTAATTGGATCGGTACTATTCACTAGTCCGATTTTTAATTATTATAAATTGCAAAATTAATATTTTAAATTCTAGAAAAATCATATTCTGGTTCTGGAACTTATTTTTGACTTGGAAAATAAATTTTGATATTTTTGAAATTTCGAAATATATTTTCACAATATAATTTCGGTTTTCTATCTTTGAAAAATGGTTTTCAAAATTTTAAATTTTATTCATTCTGGAATTTTAGGATTTCCAGATTAATAAAGTTTACTGGGAGTCTCCAATAATTATTTTCTAATTTAGAAAACATATATATATTTAATTCGAAATAAAAGCCCTTTTTCGAATTTAAATATATATAAATGCGGTAAATATAAAATATTTTATTTTCTAGAATTTAGAAAATCTAATTTCTAACATTCTGGAAATTTAAAGTATTTTATGATTTTAATTAAATTACTTGCTAGTTTAATTAATTTATTGTTGATAGTTTATTCCGTAGAATAGAATAAACTAGGTCTGGGGCGAGCGCGGTTCGCCCGGTGTATGCTTTAATATGTATGATGTGATGCATGTGATGCTTGTATGTATTATTGCATGGTGGATGATTGTGGCTTAGTTATATTTGTTGTAATTTTAAATACGGCCTGCGTGTCGTGCCTCATCTCTATACTCTGGATGTAATTCTCTTCTTTACCTCAAATATTCTTTTCTCTCGAAAATTATAAGAAGACAAGAAGACGAAGTCCGTTCGTGATAGAGAATCCTAAGGAAGACGTGATGGGCCGGAGATAGAGATCTCTTGATCAAGGCGCTATCGTTTGTTTTTCTTTAGGAGCCACAATCATTTCACGTTTACTTATTATGCATGTGATGTATGATTGAATGTATGCATGTATGTGATTTTCGCTAGTGCATACGCGCGGTGTATGCCATAGGCAAGACTGCGTTATAAATCCCTCATAATTTTAAGTCTGTGCCACCCCGACGCCCCGTCACTCGTCAAACCCAATTTAGATCGGTAACGGACTCACCCAAGTGAGACGCCCGGTTTACGTTGGTTAGGCGCGAAACCCGTAACTAGGGTACTGACTCGCCCCG